AGTGGCTACTTATTTGTTAGTTTATTTGGGTGCTTTGTGTTTTTAAAAGTATATATATTTTTTTAATATAAGAAAGTCTAAATATAGGAAAGTAAGAAAATATAACAAAACTTATCATTATAAAATCCAAACCCTTATATAACTCAATAATTTGAATTTAATTCTGCCTATATATCTTCATTTGGAAGACTTTTAAATCTTCAAATAATTAAAAGAGTAAAGTGCAATAAACCCCGTTCAACTATACCCCAAGTGCAAATAACCCCCTTCAACTATACCCCAAGTGCAACAAACCCCCCTCAACTACAAATAACCCCCCTCAACTATGGTCTAGGTGTAGTTTTAAGACAGAATGTTTTTCAGGTCATTTCAAGCTACCAGAAACTAGAAAAGTCTAATTTACCCCTTCATAAAATGGTGCCGCATCACAGTAAGGAAAATAAAATGCTTGGCAGACACGTGTCAGCAACCTATTAGCTGCTGACTTTATTTTTTTATTTTTCCTTTTCTTTTCTTTATCTTCAACTGGGTCTCTTCTCATTCCCCTTTCTCTCTAGCTCGTCGCTATCCAAGCCGCCGATGTATAACACGATGAACCCCCAAATTGAAAAGGCGACGACTAAGCCGGCGATTGACAAAATAGCAGGCAAGGCGATCACAAGCTTGGCTATGGCGGCTTGATGGAGACGGGCTGGCTGTGATGGCGAGCAGGTGGACTGAACGGAAGAAATGGCGGCGGCTTAGCCAGTGGAAGGCTCAGCTGACTCGGCTGTGAATGACTCGCGGTGGCAGCGAGCTTGGTGGGATTGAACGGCAGCCGAACTCACAGCGAGCAAGGAGGCTTTGGACGGTGGAGAGGATGAAGACGGCCTCGGCGGTTTCGGCTTTGGATGATGTCGGCTGTGATGGATGCCTGGTGGTGCAGTGGCGGTGATGTACCGGCCAGGGCTCTGCCTTGAGTAAGAAATGCGGCGGTGGAGAGGAGCGGCTGGCAAGGATGAATTCAAGCTTCTTGTTCTGTAAATGGGTTTTGATTTTTTTTTTTACTCACTGTATACTAAGCTTAACATTTGAGTACAATAAAAGAAGAAGAAAAAGGGCTACTTGGGTAAAGGGAAAGGATCTTCTGAGTTCGTCGGCGACCATGGCTGTGATCAAATTTGGCAAAAATACGGCAGCGAGGTGGAGCAGCGAAATCGATAATGGAATGAACTGATAAGGGTGAGGAAGATGATGATGGAGGTTATGCTAATTTGGGTCAAAATGCATGTGCCAAAATGGGTGTGACCTTTTTTGTTCATGAGAAAGAAAACCCTTCGCACAAGTGGTTCATTTGGGTAGCGAAGACACTCAACAGCAAAACGCGCATACGCATTGGAGGAGTAGCACCACAGAATGATGGAGGAAGAAAACAATGAGTGAATTAGTTAGCCCAATGGTGTTTCATGGGCATTATAGTCTTTTAAATTTGATAAGGGTTGTATAGTCATTTACATAAATTTGGCCCCTCACGAGCAAGGAAATTAATCGGCCGGTTGCCGGATTGGGTAAAGTGCAACAAACTAAATAGTTTAAGGGTGTTTTTTCTCATTTTGAAATTCAGGAGGTTTTTTTCTCATTGGTGTATAGTTTAGGGGGGTTCAATGCACTTTACCCTAATTAAAATTAGAAGCTATAAATTTTTACAATGAATGAGTGATATATTTTTAGTAAATAAGAACCCTAATTTACATAATTCACTTAAAGCTCTTTGTAATTATATTTTAACTCTTTGTAATTATATTTTGATTTGATATTTTCTTATTACAATTATACTGCGTTTGGTGTGCATGAATGGAACGGAATGCAAGTGAGAATGCAATGATAATGGGAATTAAATGGAATAATCATTTACATTCTATTGTTTGGTTACAAATATAAAATATGTAGGAATGGACTAATATAAAATTTAGAAAAGAATGAATATCAAATTGAATTCTCAAAAATACACCTATTAGTGACAAATAATTTAAATTGACAAAATAACATTCTTCTATATATATATATTTTTTAAAGAAATGGTGGTGGTGGTGGTGGTGGTTGATGGTGGCGGCGATAGTGGTGGAGATGGAAAGCAGTTGTGGTGGCGGAAGGCAGCAGGGTGTTGGTAGAAAGCAGTGGTCGTAATGGTGGAAGGTGTCAATGGTGTAGGTGATGATGGTGGAAGTCAGTGGCAGTGGCAGTTGTGTGGTGGTGGTGGAAGACGATAGTGGTGTAGGTGGTGGTGGAGGTGACGGTAATGGAAGACGGCAGTGGATGTTTAGGTGGTGGAAGACGGTGACAGTGGAGATAGAGGTAGCGGCAACGACAGTGGTGGTAATGGAAGTCGATGACGGTGGTTGTGGTAGTGCAGGTGGAGATGGAGGTGGCGATGGTGGTGGTGGTGATAGAAGTCGGTGGTGGTGGAGGTGGAGGTGGAGGTAGCAGCGGCAGTGGAAGGTGGTGGTGCTGATGGAAGTCGATAGAGGTAGTGGTGGAGGTAGAGGTGGTGGTGGTGGTGATGGGGGAAGTCGGTGGAGGTGGAAGTGGCGGCGATGGAGGTGGAGGTGGCGTCAGCGGCGGCGGCGATGGTGGTGGTGATGGAAGTCGATGACGTTGGCGGTGAGGTGGAGGTAGTGGTGGCGACGGTGGTGGTGGTGATGGAAGTTGGTAACGGTAGTGGTGGAGGTGGCGGTAGAAGGCAGTGGAGGTGGCGATGGTGTGATGGTAATGGAAGACAGCTGGTGGCAGTGGTGGAAGGCGACGGTGGTGGTGGAAGGTGGCAGTGATGGTGAAGGCGGCGGCAATGGTAGTAGTAATGGTGACGGTGGTGGTGTCAATGATGGTGGTGGAAGGCAATGACATTGGTTGAAATCAATGGTGGTGGTGGCCACAGTGGAGGTAAAGGTGGCTAAAGGCAGTGTAAGTGGTGGTGGTATGTTGGTTGAAGATGGAAACAATGGTGTTGGTGGCAGTGACAGTAGTGGAAGGCAATGGAGGTGTTGGTGATGACGAAAGTCAGCAGTGGTTATGGTGGAAGGTGGTGGTGGTGGTTTTTGGACTTGAAACATAAGATTTTTTTTTGAGAACTTGATTTTTTTTAAAAAAATATTACTAGGGAATGAAACGGTCATTCCATAGGTCTAATTGTGAAATGGATTTTCATTCCAATGAAATGGCCATTCCCACTTTAAATTGCATACCAAACAAAGGAATGATTGGAATGAGTATTCTATTCCGTTACATTCCTGCATATAACGAAAAATATGAGGAGAAAAAATAAATTATAGATAGAGAAGGAAACCCAGTATAAGTGTTCATTTTTACCTTTTTCTTTTTATTGTCAATTTGTTTAGTTTGTTAAATTTATAAAAGAATAAGGGTTAAGTGCAAAAAAAACCCTCGCTGTATAAAAAATGTACAAAAAACACCCCTATTAGAAAAAAAAAATGTATATAACTCCCTGTATTATCCATCTTTTGAGCAAATTGTCCCCTATTGATGATATTTGTTTCCTGAAATCTAAAAGTACCATTTTTGTGTAACAAGAATGCCCCAACCAATTTTGTATATATTTGAACAGTGAATGGGTTGATTTGGATGTACATGAAGACCTATATAAGGAAATCTTCTCTCTAATATTATATTTCTTTCTCTAAACTATATCTATGGTGCCATTTAGCAATTTGTTTCCAAGAAAACATCATTTTTATTTTTTATTTTTTGATGATACTATATTTTATTTGGTATGTCAAGTAAGAGATTCTGGCCTCTTTACATCAATTTTATTTTTTTTAGAATATTATTTATTTCTATATATATATATATATATATATATATATATATATAAACATGATCTTTCTTGCAAATATTCCTTTCTAATTCTATAACTTCTATATATTTTCCTTCCATTCCTAGAATTCTCCTTCTATAAGAAAATATAATATCTCTCTATAATTTTTTTTTTCTATCTCTAAAATTTTTTCTTGTTGTTGATAGTAAGTATCTCTCTCTAAAATAGAGCACCTGGAACAACAAGCCTCAACAAATTTCATAGTATCAGCAGAGAGCCAGAGAACATAATTGGGAAGATGTTGCTTGATCCGCTCCAAAAAATCAGCAATCCAATTCCAAATTGAGCAGTGGGTTTATTTTATGGAGTACATATAATTATATAGAGTATTGTTATGTTATGGCAAGCGGAGGAGAAATGAATTTAAGATTAATTTTGACATTTTGCCTTTCGCTTCTTTTTTGACATTTTGCCTTTCGCTTCTTTTATCTGCCAAAATTATGGTTTGTCCTTATTTGCACAAATTGAAAAAAGTAAGGGGAGTTTTCCAAACAATAGTGAGTAATTGCACATTTTGTCTATCATGAGGGAGTTTTTTTGCACTTAACCCTAAGAATAAAGGGTAATATGTATTAAAATATAGGACATTCATGTCTTTTTAGTTATTGCTAAGCAGGATTCAAGATACAAATTAAAATTCAAGATTTGTAACACTCACATTAATTTTAATACAAACTTTTGACCATATAACCCTCTTATAATCTTTACCTTACATATCTCTCGGAACATTAATTACCTTACATTTCTCTCCATTTGAGATGGTATTCAATACCGTATATTTTGGGTAACCTCCAGTCATTTTTGGGCAAGACAAGACCAAGGGGCATTCTCTTTTGTGAGAAAGTCTACAATACCCCGAGGATACATGAACACATCGTACCTCTTCCGATCAATGCTCTATTTATTTTGAAAATTCCCCTCTATTATCAATGAAAATAAAAAGCATTGATTAGAAGGAGTACCACGTGTCAACGTACTCCCAGGGTACTATAGACTTTCTCCTCTTCCGTGTGGATTCAATTGGATGAATCTGTCACAATTATTTGTTATGGGCCAATGAAAAGGTACGGTATAATCTGCAAATTGATCAAACGTTCTTTCATTACACATATTATTAGGAATCAGAGCATAGAAAAGGAACATTCCATATAAATTGGACGATGAGCATTCTACTTCTTTGAGTAACTCTGTATTATGGAACTTTGACTTGGGCAGCCACTCTTATTACACTGGTGACATACCAGACCAACTAAAGAAATGACCTCTAGCAGTCTCTCAGACTTATAAACATAAAAGAATGAGAAGAATACAATATCTCCTTTCACTTATATACACATATTCACTCGGAAACACGTTCGTCTTCTGGTGGTAGTGTATTCTATTGCGCTTGCGGTGATGGGTCAATCTCAACTCCATGCTCATTCAACCCACCTTTCTGATGCTTGTTGCTGTTGTCTTCCGTATAACTGCCCTGCTTGCAGCAACGAGAATAATAATAATAATAAAAGAAAAAAAAATGATCCTATGAATTTAGTTGCATAGTGTTTATATCTAGCGCTTCCGAGTTGATCCGTTAATAGTGCAAGAGGAATATAATAGTAGATAGAACGAATAGGTTCCACCCTGTGAGAGCCGCTTTCGTAATTCTAGCAATTAAATCACAGCAAAGCAAACATTAATGTAACATGAAGTAGATTATCCCCTTTTTGGAGCTAATGGTTAAATATTCCCACACTACGCTGATGCAGATTACTGTAATTGGTAAAAGCAAGAATCCCACAAAGATAACATAGTATTTTATTTTCTTTCCGCAAATGATGAACTAAACAATAAACAAAGAGATCCTACGGAAGGAAATTATTATTCCGAAGAAACTGATAAATAGGTGAATAGCAAAAGGTTTGTCAAAATCAGCCAATAAACGGTTTAGAATGAAACTTAATTGGATGACTCGTCAGACCAGGGTCAATGCAGAGAATAAATACTTTTTTTACTGCTCTATTCTCATAAAATGAAAAAAAGTAACTAATGGGACTTGTTGAAAAGTGAAAACATCCGTAATCAGACACCTTGAGTTTTAATAAGCTGCAATCGAATTTCAAAGATGTCCTGATGGTCATTTTCTTTCAAATTATATTTACCAATTTCTTGGTTATAGATCATGAATAAGAGTGGGACACAAATCAACGACAATAAATCAAGCAAATCTGTGACGCTATTTTATAGGGAAAAGTCATCAGAGGGATTTACATCAAAAAACTATTATGCCTATATATGCCGATTAGAGGAATACTGAATATCACAAGACCTTATCAGTCTCTTACACAATATTCCACGGAATATACATCATGATTTTATTTGCAATAAAAAATTAGTGCCAAATAAATTATGTGGTGTATCTTGAGGATGTGAACTGATACTGTTTTCCCTTCTAATTCCAATTGTTTAATAAGAAAGTAGTATGAGACAGTGGTGGGGTATTGGAAACAATTGGTTGCAATTAGACGACCAAGGGAGAGCAAGAGAGGACATCCTTTTTCTTCGTGTTATAGATTATATTAGATAGACTTCAGCAATTGGTTTTAATAAATATTTCAACAAAATGGTTTAAAAAAATAATAATAAGTTGACAAGCTTTCCCAGAAAGCAAGAAGGAAAGGGAAAGCACAAGTGAACAAAACAAACATACAAAACAAGATGACACTGGTTAACAACGAGATTCAATAAAGCTAGCTAGAAGAGAATTAAAATAAATAAATAAAAACAACACATCATTGAGAATTCACCCTTCCCTTAAGACATAGAATCATATTCACAATATTAAATATTTCAATAAACACAAATATTAGCAGAAATTGTCAGAGATAAGTTAGGCATAGGGATGTTTTGTTAGTGTTATTTTAGTATTTTCATTTTTAGGATTTTTTATTTATTTGGTCCTGGTTCACTGATAAACAGAACAGGTGCAGCAATGGTTCTTTTCTGGGATTGTTCTGGAAACTTGGCTGGCTTTCAAACTATATCCGAACAAGGATGAATCAAATAGTAGGATTCTGGGGCACGGTCCTGGAATCTGGGTTATAAAACAAACAACAGTTTCTTTTGCGAATTGTTGGCAGCACTAATCGCAAACAAGGCTTAAGGCTTCACGGTGATGATGAGCAGCAAAGGTGGGTGAGGTGGCAAGATGGTGGTGCTTTGACAACACCACCAAAAAAAACAAAAACATGACAATAGATTCTGATGATGAGAGCGACGGTGGCAACGATTCAATACAGGGAAGGTGATGGCTGCTTTTAAAAAGAGAGAGAGAGAGATGGTGGTACTCCAATTTCTGGTGATGGCAAACAAATACAGAAGAACATAAACAAGGGGATTAAGGACCCAGGGATCCTAAGAGATCAATCATCTCATCCAATGATGAACAACTTACAAACCACCCCCCCCCCCCCCCCCCCCCCCCCCAAAACAAAACAGCATAAAAGACAGCTAATGATACGGTATTCGTACGGGAGATTCCTCCCCCTCAAAAGATCTACTATTACGTTCCTTCCAGATGCACCACCAAACGCATAGTGGTACCGCCCCTCCAAAAATGAATAACGTGAGGACCCATGTAAAAGAAGATGATTGGCAAACAATGTTGTTAACGCCTTGAAGATGGCGGAAAGTTTTTTGAAGGCACAAAGTTTGTTGACAACAGGGGTGGTCAAGTCTGCAATGATGGGCAGTTGGTTGCTGTGCGATGAACAGTGACAGCAGCTGCGGTGGGTTTCGGTGGTATGCGTTACAGATACAGGTGGCAAAGGTGAATAAAAGTCTTCTATTAAGATTTGAAGGGTTTTTTTTCGCCTCTTAGCAAAGATGGCTACTGGCAGTTACTATGACAGAGTTCTGGCAACTGGCGCTTTCTGAGATATATTTCAAGTTTCTTGATTATAGGGTGTTGGGTGTCAACATGACGGTACATGATAGTTTTCTTGTTACGATTGAAAGCATAGTTATTCTCTTTCCCATGATTGGTCACATTCAACTAACACAACACCAAGGGAGGATGACGAAGTACATGAATGAGCAACAATCATAGGTAGGATGTCAAACCAAATTTTATCAGTCATCAACCATTTGAATTGGGACTAAAAGTGTGTAAGACCAATCATTATAACTTGCACTTCATGACATTTACAGGACTAGTCAATTTTCCATTCTTCCTCTCGAGAACCTAAGGGAGACATCCTCTTCAAGTGTAGGTTAATCAGCCTCATTATTTAGGGTTAAAAGAAATATGCCACTTTTGATTATTGAATAATATTTGTGATTTCAGAATTCTCTCGTGTTCTTCTCCCTTCACCTCTTCTCAACCCCTCAACCTTTTCAGTTTCGAGCATCATCTTTTCAATCTACTTTCCCATCCCCTTAGTCTATTTCTCCACCTTTTCTACTCGCATCTCATCCCCTACTTTCTTTCTTGTCCTACATAATCCCTAAAGGATATATATACTGTGGAAAGAAAAAATTAATACCGGACAGAAAGTTGACATATTCAGAATATTTAAAGAAAAACAATGTACTTACTTCTATAGGAAGATTAATGGGAAACAGGTTTATGCTCCTGGGATTAAAATTGATACCTCTGCAAAAAGGGAAGTGACAAGTAAATGAAATAGGCTTTTGCGTGAAAGTCTGTCCTATTATGCCAAATTTCAATGGCTATTTCGGGATATTTGGATGACTTAAGCAAAAAATTATGAATGGATAAGATCAATTAGTATGAAAAGATAATATCAAATCAGAAACTAATCCATATTATTAAACCTCGTCATAAAAATTTAACTAAAGACAAAACACTCGATCAAGAATCTATTCAATTTAAAAACATGCCACCTGCACCACTAAAAAATGAATGGATATAAATGCAACAGATGTAAAGGTGATGCAAATGTTAAAAACATTAGCATTTCAGGAGTTTGGACAGTAGGGAAAATAAAATTTCCTTGACACTTAACTTTTCCAAAAAAAAATTCTTGCAAAACACATAGGAAAATTTTACCTTCTTGAGAAACTATGTTTGAACTTAAAATTATACCCTTTCTTTTTATTTCTTTAAGAGAAAATGGATTTATGCAAGGCAGCCTGGGACGTTAGCAGAAGGGTGGGAAGGTTCCTTGGCATTAATTAGTTTGGAATGGTAGCAGGCTTAGGATATCTATTCAAACTGCCCTACGTCTGCATAACTCCATTCCTTCATTTACTAACCTGAAGAGAAGAGGAATTCCTATTCCATCTATCTACCATAACTGCTTCAATGGGGAGGATTCTCTTGATCCATCTTTTCTGGTCCTCTGGCTATGCTTCTCGAAGGTGTGGGATTGGTTTATTCCTTCCTGCGGATCAGGCAGGTGCCCTAACGTGGTTTATTGCTCATTCTTCCACTTCAAGTATGAAGACTAAGTTATTAAAGTGCTTTTTCACTTCCATCATTTGGCGCATATGGACAGAGAGAAATAGGAGGCTCTGCAATGGCAGTTCTAATTCTCCACATCAGTTAGCTATGGTGACTTGTTCTGAAGGAATTTCAGCTCTAGAACTTCCTTTGTCTGATTTTATGTCTTTGTTCTGAAGTTTGTACTCTGTTTATTCTTGTAGCTTGCTCGTAGCTCAGGAACTTTTCTCTTTTTTAGCCTTTAGTATGCCTTAGGACTTTTATAGATCGGTCTAATCTGATCTTATTTTCATGTACATTATTGTATATCTTCAGTTATTATTAGCCTTTGGTATGCCTTAGTCCTTTTATAGATCGGTCTAATCTGATCTTCTTTTCATGTACATTATTGTAAATCTTCAGTTAATAAAACTCAACACATTTAGGGGAAAAATAAAAATAAAAATAAAAAATGGATTTATGCATAACATTTATGATGAATGGTATAATAGTCCATATTTTTGTCTCTGAATGTCCTAGAAGATTATTTATTAGATTTTCACATTAATTTTATATTTTAAAAAGATCAAAAAAATATTGATTCGAATGTCCTAGAAGATTATTTACTAGATTTTCACATTAATTTTTTTTTTAAAAAAAAGATCAAAAAATATTGATTTCAAACGAATCCATTTAGACTTGTTATTGTAGTTAAAATAAGGATATTTTTTTTTCATAATTTAAAATAAAACAAAATAAGGAAAATTTGGAAATCAATAATATTTTCTTGTAACTTCCTTGCTATCCAAATGGAATTATTCGAAAACTTTATAACAAAATTTCATTCTAACAAAATACATGCTGGCTTTCTTTCAGTTCATTTTTGATCACTTTCAATTTCACTAATTTTTTCCTTCTAACCAAACTGAGACTTAAACTCTTCTAAGGTAGTTTGTAAAAAAAAAAAAAAAAACTCTTCTAAGGTATGAAAGAGATCCATGGTTAATAAATAATAATATGCAGGAACTATACCGGCGAGACAGAACTAGCTGCCACACATATGGAATGAAGAACTCCTCAGGATGGCTTTCTTGTTCATATGTAAAGCGTAATTGAGTATACATCTGTCATGAAAGAAAAAAAAAGACAAAAAAAAAAAAAAAAGGAAAAAAAAAGAAAGAGAATAAACAGAACATGATCAGCAAAAACATTCCCATAATTTGGCAAAATTACTAATACAATCGTTTGCTTCATACCTTCATCCCTTCACCTCGCCAAGTTCTACAATTGATGATTATTACTTGAAGGACTTTCTCCACTGACCATTCTCCATCCATTCTCTGGGCATCCATGCGGCTGTTAAAATAATCCAAGACCTAGAAAAGAAGAAGAGCATCATAAGAAGTTCATATGCACTCTGAAGATCATAATACAATCTTTAAGACATTGATAAGCTTACAGGCAGTCCAGCAAAACTACAACCTAAACTTCCTTATTGATGAATTGCATAATTGTTACAAGGGGGAAAAATCAATTATTTTTGTGGAATTAAAAGCTCCAACACATACTGTAAAAATGTTCTCAAGCAGCTCATTAAAGCGTGGATGATTCTTGAATGGCTGAAAGACCTCCTGCCTATGCATAATTGCATATACAACCTGCCCCATGAATAGAGTGACAAAATCAAATCAAAAATAAAAAAATAAAAAAATAAAAAATAAAAAAAGAAGAAGAAGAAGAGAGAGAGAGAGAGAGAAAAAAAAAACATGGCATGGCATAATGTGAATCATATCTGTAACAGAAAAAAAAAGAAAAAAAAAAAAAAGAGAAAAAAAAAAGGAAGATAGAAATTAATCTTGTATGAATCAGAACAAAATGAATTGATTTACCTCGGGATTCCGTGGCAGGGCATATGTCAGAATTGCATTTAATATTTCCAGAACAATTCTCAGAAAGTCGGTATAAATATGCAATTCCGCTGACTGCAACAATTATAATTTAGTTTAGCAATACAAATAAAATACCTAATAAGAGTGACCATAAAAATCATGATAAGGCGGTGAAGATTATAATCACAACCATATCTTCCGGAAGGCTGTCTTCTCTTGATTCACCATTGCTTATATGCATCTCATTATTTTTCAGATCTGCTAATTTGGTATACCTGGATTCAATAGTACATTAGAAGCAACAGATAAAAAATCAAACTGCAATCCTGGAAAAGTAAAGCCTTCATCAAATATTCAACATATAACCTAAACATGTTGGGGTCAGAGGAACAATAGAGACAGAAACAATCACATACTTGCGCGAGAGCATATCGAAAAGGCTAACCAATCTCTGTGATGCATATGCACTCAAACGGTGGACATGAGGTGCCATGTTTGCCAAAGTTGCAAGGCAATTTGTATGGAGATAAACATCCTGTTTCAATGCTACATGTCATTAAACAATTTGAAATAAATTTGAGAACTCAACTAGTTAAGATACTCAGTTACATTTGACACATCCACCCATATATTTAATATTTGTGGGTATTAATGAATTTTCCAACTGGATAATCGAAATGTTAAAATGTCTAATAATATGTCAAGAATTTATTAAAATAATATCAGCATCCTTTATCTTTTCAACAAGTAAAAGTTCTTCTGCTGTATCTATGGCCATAGCAAGATATATATCCAATAGCCATCAATATACTAATTGGACATAAATATGCTAACAGCTCTAATTGCTCCAGTGATCTTCAGGTGGAAGATTATTCTTCATTTGCAATCAATCATTCTAATTTTCTAATGCAGGGAAACTGGAGAATAGGCACTTAATTACAAACATCAGTCTGTGCAGTTGAGATTTAGAAGGACCAGATTGCAAGCATCAAGCATTCGCAGCCAATGGGCAACAACCTTGGAAGACGTCAGGGGATATGTTTCACCTCCCGTAGCCTCTTCAATTAAATGCTAGTGAAGAAGATACATTGTCATTTGTACCTTTTAATTTCTCTTTCATATGTTATATTCTTTAATTAGGTATTGCATAATAAATGGTTCTCATTCTCGGACAGTTAGACATTCTCCCTTTGGTAACAATCAAAGATATTGAAAATAACAATGAGCATTGGACATTGATGAGGGAATATTTTATGTTCTAATGCAAGTGTCATATTTTTCATAATTCAGAGACTAAATTCCAAAAAGATATACAGAAAACCAATTCACTATGAATAGACAAAAAACTAATTCAATTATTAATTATTAATACGACTAAAAGTCTAAAGAATTCTGTACATGGTGAGATGCTAGATAATGACATTAAGTTACCGTTGTATTAAATATTATGCTGTCTTGAAATGTTTTCCACTAGAAATTGTTAATTATCATAATAATAACAAACTAAAATGAATACATGAAATCGTACCCGCAGCTTAGATAGGTTGTACTTTACAGTCCTTATTAATATTATGACCACCAGAGAACCAAGAGAGATCTGGTGAAGAAGGCGCTCTTGATACCACGGAACACTAGGCAGCATCTGTTCAAATAATATCCTACATTAATGTGATCATAAGAATAAGTGAAGTGTGAGCCTACAAAGACCGTTCTTACAAGCTTATGAATGCTGGCGTTAAAGGAGGAATCCTGGCTTAGTATAAGAAGGATAATCAGTAACATATAGATTTGATTGGAAGTCCTTCTCGAAGCATTATATAGTGTTTCCAGCATGGGCATCAACTGTTGAATTAATTCAAGAAACACAAATTAAATTAGGCTGTGCAATAAATAGAATGATCTAAAGCAAGCAGTAAATATATGATGCCTGCTCATATGACAAAAAGAAATCCAAAAATCTAGCTGCACTTGAGGCTATTAAGTTACACAAGTAGCACAATTACATTTAATAGAAAAGGATTCCAAACAAAATCAGTAGTAACTAACTTCACTCGAAGAAAATGACGCAACTACAATTTATAAACGCTTATCAAGCAGGACCCATAATCGCATAGTGAAAAATCTTTAAAATGTTACAGTCTACCTATATTGCAATGATATATTTGATGAGAATTTTCTGCACTGGTTTTACACAAAGTAATTATTATTATTATTTTCCATTTACTAATTTTCTTTATTTTACACAAAGAGGATGGGAAGGGCGGGGACAAGGGATTGTGTTCAGATTGTCTGAAACTCAACAGCATCAACTATAAGAGGGAATTAGGATGCTAATTTGTACCAGTGTATCCAAATCAGTTCGCACTAAAACATAATCCAGAAAGTCCGAGTTCCCATGCACCAGAGAATAAAGCAGTAGGACAGCAGTCTCATCAGCCAAGCACCTGAGACAGAACCTGTTAAATTATACTCCGAGAGAGAGAGAGAGAGAGAGAGAGAGAGAGAGAGAGAGAGAGAGAGAGAGAGAGCATGCAGATAAACACAATTTAGAGAGAGAGAGAGAGAGAGAGAGAGAGCATGTTTTTACAATTTCAAATTCTGTCAAGGATTATGCCCCAAGGTGAGTGTTGAGGTAGTTATTTATGAGTTGTCGATACAACTAAAGGTGCTCACAAACTTTCCATAATAATGTGAGAAATAATTATGAGTTGTCCATACAGCCAAGCACACACACACTTTCCATATTCACACAAAGCCCATTTTTCGGGTCAAAACCGGGTTGCATAACAAATTTCAGGCCACATCACACTATGTATACATATGTTGTAACAACAGGAAATTCAATGAAAAATACAGAATTCTTCTCTTACTCATAAATTCCTAGTCTCGGTATTTTTTTTAACATGGTATCAGATTGATTCTCTCCCTCTCTCTCTCTCTCTCTCGGCATCTTTTGTTTACTCAGATTTTGTCTCTCTCGCTCATTTCTTTGCATTTGTTCTTTCATCTTTTGCTTATTCCAATTTCTTTTCTAAATGGATACAAAACAAGTCTCTACTCCTTGGGTCAATGACCAGTATCAAATTGAAGGGCTCAAATTCCCTTCAATAGTCTCAGGCAGTAGAAGTGTTCTTGAGGGCTCGAGGGAAACTATCTTATATTCGGTCACCCAAACCTACAGATGAAAAACTCATTGAAGCGTAAAAAGGAAGATGCACAAATCATGACTTGGTTGTGGAATAGTTTAAAATCCAACATCTTCAACAATGTATCGTTTCTGAAATCTGCCAAGGATATTGGGAGACTCTTAAGGACATGTACTCATTGGATAAAAATATTTCTCGCATCTATTAATTGTAACAGCACATTTTTAATCTCCAGCATGGAGATTGCTCTGTCGAAGAATATTATTCTGAACTGAAAGGTACTGGGAAGAACTGAATGTTTATCAGCCATTGACAGCAGACTTGGAACAACAAAATCAGCACAGAGAGGAATTCCGGGTGGCAAAATTTATCTCTGGTCTTAAACCAGAGCTTGGGTTCAGAGAGCCTCCATTCATTCTCCTGCTCCTGGGAAGGAGGATCATTCTGTTCTTGTTGCTCCTGCCGAATGACATCATACTCCTCGTGGAGGATTAGCAGGTCGAAGTTCTTCAAACCCCAGACGTGGTGGTAATCGAGGAGGTAAAGGGGGTCGAGGAACCAATAAGTGTACTCATTGTGACCGGAATAATCATTCTGTTGACTACTGTTAGGAACCTCAAAACAATCCAGCTTGGGCAAATCAGGCATCGGTTCAGGGGGAGAACAATACCTCTACTACAGAATAATAGGTTGTTCTTTCTAAAGCCGAGTATGATTGATGATTAAATGTGCATATTTGTCTTCCACCTGCACAGTTACTGTAGATGCTTCGGGTAATATTTTTCTTCATACCTCGTCTAATCTTCTATCCTTCCACATATTTCCCATGTTTCCTTGCCTACAATTGTTACTATAGCAAATGGTACCAAATCTCCTTTTAATGGCATTGGTACTGTTTGCTCCTCAAATCTAACATTCTTGTGAGCTTTGCACCTTCCTCAATTTCCGGAAGACTAATTTGTATGGAAAGTAGGGGACTGAGAGGGCAACAAGAGCTAGCATGGATTGAAATTATTAGAAATATTTCTAAGTAGTTAAACATTATAGGAGAGATGACTTGTAATAGAAAAGAATGGTAAAATAAGAATTCATGTGGCCGACCCTATTCATATGGAGATTAAGGTAAGGAATGCGATGATGATAATCTGATATAATAAACTTCAAATATTATTGATGAATATCCAAAACATAGATATTGGACACATATCCCATACTCATATTGAGTATCGTGTGCATCGTACATTTTATAAGAGTCAATTACATGGGAAATAGGTGCAATGAATCCCATATGTCCACCCCTTCCAATACCCAGTTTGGTGGGATCGACAATGGTACTGGCCTTTCAGTCTAAGTTTAAGAAACAAAATAGCCAATTACATTGGGTTATTGAGGTTTATTCTGTGAAGATCTTTAAATTTCAAATCTATTGACAGAAAATCGCTGTTAACAATTATGTTGCATCAGAGGACACAATGTTATAATTTAACATAACTAAATCATCAAACTTTACAAAACATGTTCTTTTCTTAAACAGTTACAAAATAAATGAGCTCTATTGGAAGGAGCATATATCCAAATTAAACCAAAAGATTAATTTCAATTCATTAAAATACAATAAAAATGGAAGGCATAGTGCAATGATACCATTTACAGGAACAAAGGTCATTTCCTCTTCACATGGCTTGGGTTTATCAATACTATTCATTTATTGAAATATAAGTACACACTTACATGCCAAGACTATCAAAGAGAGAAGCAAAAGGTAGTCTCACAAGGGGACCATTGTGTGCATTCCCCTCAATATCCATGCGATCAACTGCAAGTGGGCAACAGATTTACTTACACCATTGGAAGTGAAACAAAATTAAATAGTACAAGATAACGAATCTTACGTTCAGTATCCTTAGCATTTTCTAAGGCCTTGCAGTAAGGGTTTTCAGAAAAATACGGATTTTCTTTCAGCAGAAGATCTGAAGTGGCACTGTCATCACTTCTATCTTTCATGGATTCTACCAAAACACATTTCCGATAATGAATGAGAATAAGTAAAACATGAAGACTGCTCTCTGCCAATGGACTTCTTGAAGCTTCGGGGCTTGTACTGACAAAGTAATTAAATGGAAAAAGCACAAAATTTGCTGCAAGTCAAAGAAAAAATTTAGAAGCTTTTATTGGTTAAGTAAGCCAAAAGTCAACCATAAAAGAGGAGGAAAATAAATAAATAAATGAACTGAAAGAATCCTCAATTAAAAATAATAAAAGTAAAATAAAAACACAACATTCTGAAAAAGAATATGAAAGCTTTTGATGTGAAATAGCTACTAAATGTACCAATATTTTGAGGACGATGTTATAAATATGGTGAATGTGACTGGGCTAAAACCATGGAAAAGAAATAATTCTAGTGCCAAAAAGCAGAGAAAATATATTAATTAGAGTCAATTATCATAGTGCACAAATAGATAAGAAGAGAATGGAAACTTAAAATCACAAACACACACACACACACATTAAATAAAATTGAAGCTGGGAAGGATGTTGAACATATAAACATTTTTTATGGCATAACCAAGAGGCTCAAGCATCTCAGCCAACAATTTGGTAACCTTGAGACAAAATGAGGAAAAAAAAGAAAAAGAAGTGGTTTTAGTCACCTGTAAGGCTGTTCAGTCCGATATCGAAGTGTTTTAAAAAGATAAACATACATGAAAATAAAAGCAATATTTATAAATACAATGAGCATTAACAAAATCATCATACCAGCTGCAGACCCAACTCTCTGTAAAACACCAGGCTGATTTCCTTCAGAAAATATAGTATAAGATGCACTATTTAAGGGAAAGCGAGGTTGGGTGATGTAATTAACTAGCAATTTGCGAACAACCAAACCAGCCAAAGAACATTCCTGCAAATATTACCACAATTTGACGAACCAAAAATATTTATTATGAGACTCATAAATTTTTAATCAACTTATATAGGTACAGTCCTTCTCACCTGAACCATGGCCGCATCAATGAATGGCTGAACATCTTTCGGTCCTGGTGATGGCCCAGAAAGAAGCTGAGTTGACATGGCAACCAGCAAGAAGTTGAGCAGTTCGTGGTGCAGAAGATATGTGTTGGGACTTGCAAAAGAAAAACAAAAATATGAACTTAGGAAAAGTAAATATGATCTCAAAATTAAGAAACATACTAAATGATTCATAACATACCTTACATCTACTTTGCCAAGAAAGACAAGCACACTATGCATGACAAAATTTTCAATGTTTTGATCTGTGCAAATTAAAAGCACAAAAATGAGGCTCATAAAGTTGCTTACTGGAGAGCAAGAGAAAAGAATATATATATATATATAGTCCAAAATAATGTATATGCAATAATGAACTTGAAAACTAAAAATTTGGAACAAACTTTAGTAAATCCACTTGCAAGACAAAGATTTCAAATGTTGATAAATATAAGAAGGGACCACTACGATGGTGACAAAATTATGAGAGCAATCCAACTAAACCAAAATTCATCATGAAATTCGAGTTGACGATTCCTAAGTGAAACATAAACTTTCTTTGAGCTTCAATTAACTCCATGCTTTTGAAATAATTATAGAGTTAAACGCAAAATTACAGGGCCCAACTGATACCAAATCCAAAAGCTGATTTTGATTTGTTAAAAAAATTAAAAAGTAAAATAGCAGAACCTGTAAGGCAGGTCATAATTTATAGAAGTGTTCGTAGAAAATGGTTTTCTAGAATTATCTAAAAGCACGTCATTTTCAAATGAAGTTCAGAAATATTTTCACATTTCAAAAAATAAGGTCCAATCAGAACTAAAAACAGCATGAGAAGTGCTGCAATTAAAAAACTTTGTATTGTTTCATTTCTATTTTATTTTTTTTCAGAAATGAGAACTGCTTTAAGAATCTTGTTCATAGAGTAGTATAAAAGAAGCCCTTAGTTTAAAGTGAAACAATATTATACCATGCAAAGGTGAAAAGTACAACAATCATTCTTGCATCCCTATTCCCTAATTTGAAATTTAATAAAGTTTATTTGTGACCATAAAATATGTAAGGACAACTTCACCTTCTTTAACAAATAATCGGTTGCCGTAGCCAAGGGAACCAGGCTAATTGGCTACATCTAGAAAATTGTACACTAAGACCATAAGTTTGTAATCATCACCAATCAGACCCTTAGTAGAGTCAGGCTAGCAAGGTAAAGCAATTATTTAAGATTTGCCTAATGCTTTGGCAAATTCCTGATACTTGCTGAATTTATTTAGCCAAAGAGAAAAAAATATATAATCATAACTGACCAATTGAAAGTGACCTTGGCAAAAATATGAACTTTAATAAGGTGAAGTTAATTACCTCTAGAAAAATGACTTGGTATTTCTTCACTTTCATCTAGGGATAAGTACAATTCCTCGACACGGTCGCTTTTGGCATTTTCAATTAAGTACTTCAAAAATACAGATGAGATGTATATTGCGTTAACGGCCTTCATAAAAGCAGAGGACGGTACAGCAGAAGTAGAAACAGGCTCTTGCAAACACCATGCTAAGTGAATCAAGATTTTTGCAAGGTGCTTTGTGTAATAGTTATTCTGTGCTGCAACAAACGATGAGAAAATATTTCTCTTACAAAAGATTTAGAAATCAAGTAAATATTAGCAAGAATCTCAAGAATCATGAGATGGAAAGATAAGACAATAGTGTTCATTATACCATCTTAAATTTGAAACACACATAAAGGCAGTCAATACAATGATAACAAGTACATGTGTAAAATCCTTTTTATAGTAGCCAGTATCAATCTGACCACTTCTGTATCAATCATATTGTATTTTGCATCAAAGTACAATTTGGGGGAGGAAAAAGAGAGAGAGAGAGAGAGAGAGAAGTCAAAAAGACATACAAAATTAATTTGGTACAAATAAGATAAATTAAATAACAGAATGACGATTATTAAAACAACAAACTAAGTATCAACGATTCTTTCATTCAACATTGAAATTAAAATTAGTGATATACTTTTTCAAAATATGAAATTTCAGCTTGTAAATATTTTTGTCTCATTGGACAGAGAAACTAGGGTTTGCTCATCCATTCGTGGAGGTAGCTCGGCTGCCAAGACTTTTAAGAGATAGCTGATAGCAAAGCCGTCATCTCATTGTCATCAAGAGGGCATTGTTTTGACGTGGCTAAGAGAGGACATGCCTCAAACCTGTTTGGTGGGCAAATTCAACAGAAAGGGGGTAGTCTGGAGCAAATTGAAGCATTGGCTACCAAGGCTTAGAAGGTAGCCTCTGGTGTAGGAATATCTCCATTGCCAGGTTCTCAACTCCTTTTCCGACCACCATCTCATCAATAAGCAGTCAGGGTGCTAATGGAAGCGAAGTGAAATTTGGCGGACACAAGATTACTCTTGGACGTGTTTTCCTTTTGAGTAGGAGGAGGAGGAGAAGGATTTGTTGTATGGCCTGCTACTTCATATGTGGAGTCAAGTTTTTCTTTTCTGATAAGTACATTTAATTAAAGAAGTGCTCAAGAGGGGAGTAGCCAAAGAACAAAGCATACAAAAAAGAAGAACAGTTATACTTTCAAACTGCCTACAAACTCCAAACGATGCCCACAGATTTACAATTTCACCAATTAATCTTAAAAAATAAAAAATTCATAGGTAGACCTGCCAATGGATCGATTTTTTATTAGAATCCAATCTGATAACTCGGATATGGATTGAAGATTTAATCCGATAACCCATTAACGATCCGAATCTGATAATCTGTTAGCTAAACAAATTGGATATGTAATATGGTCAATCGACTCAATCCAATCCGATAATAATCCGATCCGAAATAATATTTTATATAATATGTTAAACCTATATAATATAATTTTATGATATATAATATTTACATATTATAAAATTATTCTTATCATTATTTTCTCCTCCTCTTCTTCCCTCTATTTTTTATTACTACTAAATGTTTATTCATTAAAAAAGAGTTAAGGATCTAATTTTCTTTTCTTTTTTCTTCCACATTTTATTTTTCTTTTGTTTTCTATTATTTTTATTCTAATCATTGTTTTTAAGTCTCTTTTGACATTAATTTCTTTTCTTTTCTTTTCTTTTCTTTTTTTAAAATTAACCCTCATTGGATTGGATAGGATATCCGTTTAATAACAAATCGGTTATGGACTCATTCACAATATATCTACTCATAATAGTATTTTTAAGAGACCAAAAAAGGAGTTTCCTCCCAGTCAAAAGACCTCCTATTCCTACCAATTGGCCATCAGCCCAATGGTATAACCTTCCTACCCTCAAAGAGGAAGGGATGGGTTCCAGCCCCCGGCGTTGGCAATGTGTGTGTGAGTACTTTACCTGATCAAAAGATATAAAAATAAAGACCTCATATTCCTCCTCTCCACAACCCCCACAAAAAAAAGGGGATTGGCTCTGCAAGCATCACGGGCAGCTACCCACTATACACCCTCTCCAAGCCTCTATCGTATCCACTATGAAACTAGATAGAACCCAACAAACTCCAAGAATAGAAAAGAACATGGCCTAGACATCACGCACCGCAGTGCAATACAAGAGGAGATGGCTCACCTACTCCTCAATCTTTTTGCACATACAACACCAATTCACAATAATATGTCGCCTCTTCCTTCCAAATACTCCCAAGTGCAACTGTCCAGGCAAAAAAGAAGCCACCTTTAAGGGGGCGTTCGATCTCCAAATGGCCTTCCAAGGAAAAGATGAACCCCGAGCATCCAAAAGGCACTAATAAAAAGATCAAAAAAGAAAAAAAAAGATCGCATCTAAAAAACCCCTTCCGTGAACCTGACCAAATCAACTCATCAACCCCAACCCCCTCCACCTCCTAGCTATACAGCAAACTATAAAATTTTCTATCTCCCCGCCTCCCACTCATGAAGATTCCTCTCAAACTGCACATCCCAAGTCCTCCTTCCGCTATCTTGACGATAACAGTCACCGACTAGAGCCTGCTTGTCTGTAGCGAAAACTAGCAAGCAAACAGTCTCTCCCTGCACCAATGGTCTGCCCACAGCCAAACAAACCTCCCACGTTTCACCCTGAACTGAATGTGTTTGGAAATGCCTGTGGTGGTTTCAAGGGTGTGGAAGCCGAGACGAGAGGGTCAGAGGGTGAATGATGGAAGTGTGTAGTCATCAAAGTGAAGGATAGGGGCTTGATTCAACAAACAATTTTGGTGAATGATGAGATGTGTCATTAGGTATCTCTTTCAGCAGAGAAATTTCCTGAGTTAGTTCCGTTGTCAATGTCTTTAGAGGGTAAAGATGAAGCTTCTCTTATGAAGGAGGATGAAGTTGGGAGTGAAATCAAGAATGGCAATTAGAGAGAGGGGTCGAACGGAGAAAGTAAAATTGAGATTTACCGTTGCAAGGACGCTCACTTATGGGAGGTATGGGATGACAGGTGGAAGTGGGAATATGAAGCATAGAGAGGGCTACATGGAGGACGACGGTGGTCCAAAGTCTTATTGTGGGGGATAGCTAGAGGCCACTGAAGTTCAAAATTGGGTAGGTTGCGTGGGAGGGAGGTGGTTGTTAAAAAAGGTGTTCGGGTGGGTCGTGAGATAGTAGCCCATATTGGCAAGGCTAGTGGGCTAGGTCAAGCAAGTTTATAAACTCAGTTCATTCATCTTATAGAAGGTATAGGCAAGGATATGGGTGGTGAAGCAAGTGTGAATGCTAGGCCCAAGACCACGGGGAGGGGCCATTGGAGAAGATGAACCCACTATGTAGTGGGATGTAATTCCGATACAAAATGAAACCAATTCTGAGGACAAATTTTTTAGAAGATGTAGGATGCAAGAGGTAACATCGTGAGGAAGAAGATGGGGAAAATGAAGCACATTACAGTTATGGAAGACATTATGGAGGAAGAGACAATAACCATTTGTGTAGGGAAGGGGATTAGGCTGGAGAAGGGTTGTGTTGCAACATTAATGTAGGATTTGAAACTCAATTGTGGTAAGGTGACGATGAAGGTAAAGGCAACGGGGCCACGAGGTGATGCCATGGCCGATAACATTGATGGTAGCTCCAATGAGGGTTGTTCTACTGCAACAGCTTGGCGAATGGACAATTTTTTTTTTTCCTAGTTGGTACTCACACACACATGCCTCCACCGAGGTTTGAACCCCTTACACAATTCCATAGAAAGTGGTGATGAGCAGGAGATGCAGTTGGCTACTTCTAAAGAACAACAAGTCCTAGCCACTAGAGGAGACAGAGAGGATAACATGGAGGATCGAACTAGGAATTTGGTGATGGCCATCAGTGGTGATACAAACAAGAACCATGGATTGACTTTCAAAGGGAGTGAAGAAAAGGCCCACGCTTTGTTCCAATCCATGGATAATGATTCAAAAACAACTAGAATCAACTGAGGTTATAACGGGAAGAGGAGTACATCAGGGGGGGGAGAGAGAGAGCTCAGTTTTCTTTTTCTTTTTTTCTTTTTTATTATTATTATTTTTTTGGATAAGTAAAGATTCATTGAAAAGTGCGCTCAAGCGGGGAGCACATCCCACAAAACAAAATGACCAAATAGGGCCCTAATCTCTCAATATGTCAAAAAAATCCAGTATCTCCCCCAAAGATTTACAGTTTCTCCCATAAACCCAACAAAAGGGAGAATTAAGAACAGAAAACTTAAGCACCCCTATAGAAATTTCCTCACCGTCTAAGGGTGTCCTATTTCATTCCTTCCACAAGCTCCACCAAATACACAAACGTGCCACCCTCCAAAAGACCTGGGCTTGGGAGCCCACTGTACATCCTCTACAAGCCTCCATCAAGCTCCTCAGAGACAAAGGCATGGCCCAAAGTGTTGGGGTCCACCCACGTTATACCGTTATAACATACGTAATGTGATGTGAAGACGGTGATAAACTCTTTATCTTCTGGGTTATCTCATACTGGAGATTGTTAGAGGATTACTTTCATTGTATTTTGAAAGGGTGTGACTCTTGTATAGAGGACTACTTTTATTGTATATAAAAGGACTCACGTTGTGTGGAGAAAGTAGAGATTGAGATATTTAGGTTTTCCTTGTGAGTGATTGGGGTACAAAAGGGTTGACGGTGGTGAGTCATATCTCTGTTTAATCCTCTATCCTTGTACATTTTACAATCTTGAGTGAAAATTTTTTTTGTGGACGTAGCCCTGATTTTGGGTGAACCACGTATATCTCATGTGTGTTTTCCTATGATTTGTTTTCTGTGAATTGTATGGTTGTTTGCTACGTGGGTTATTGTTTTATTTCCCAACAAGTGGTATCAGAGCCATAGGCTTACACACGTTGTTTGATAAAAAAATTCTTGATCTAGATTTTTTATCATAACTTTGGTGTTGGATGTATTGGGTGTGACAATCATGTGCAAAGAAAACATTGAAGATGGGGAATCTACTCTCCTGTCTGATGATAAGAGGAACGACCGTGGATCTAACAATAACAGGTCTAGATCAACGGGCGGGCCATAGATGCCGAGGCCACATCTAAAAGGACTATCCCCGTGAAAAGGGAAAGGAAGATGACGACAAGAATGATGCATCTACCATACGTGCTTCAGACTTTGGAGATGTACTCATAATCTCCCAAGGTAATACTCTTTCTCAACATGATTGGATATTAGATTTGGGTTCTACAAACCATATTTGCTCCGTGAAAAATTATTTTGATTCGTTTCAAGAACTTAAGAATAGTTCTTTGACTATTCCAAATGGTGATACGTGTGCTGTGAATGTTGTGGGAATCGTAAAAATCAAGATATTTGATGGAGTGGAACGCACTATGGAGAACGTTGCCTACGTACCAAAATTGCGGTGTAATTTGATATCCTTGAGCCGTTTGGATTCCATGGACTGCAAATGTTCCATTGAAGGGGGAGTCATGAAGATTACAAAGGTCTGCATGGTATTGATGCGAGGAGAAAAAAGAGGTGGATTATATCATTTGGTGAGGGGTACCAATGGTACTCGGACTTCGATAGCTGATTGGAAATGGGCACGTGAAAGCAAGATCTTGCGACATGTCTCGGAGATAATGTGTTTCCAGACAAATGATGATGAGTTGAAAATTCCTGCTTGTGAAGGGGTCTCTATGGTGTCCCCTTTCAGAGTCACTTGATCATGCTGACTTGGTTCAACTGCACGTATTGTATGCATTAGCCATAAAATCAAGGTGTTTAGATTTGGTTCGGGTTATGTGTAGCTGGTATACAGAAAGCCAGTGGAGTCAGTGGACTGCTTGTTGATTTGCAAGTAGGAATCTCGTGCATTGAGATTTGTGAACTTTGTCTAAGGGGGAGCCAAGGACTTGAAGAGGTTTGCACTCAGCAGGTGTGCTCGGTGATTCTCTTCCTCGTGGGTGGAGGGGGAGATTGTTGGGGTCCACCCACGTTATACACGTTATAACATACATAATGTGATGTGAAGACGGTGATAAACTCTTTATCTTCTGGGTTATTTGATATGGGAGATTGTTAGAGGATTACTTTCATTGTATTTTGAAAGGGTGTGACTCTTGTATAGAGGACTACTTTTATTGTACATAAAAGGACACACGTTGTGTGGAGAAAGTAGAGATTGAGAGATTAGGTTTTCCTTGTGAGTGATTAGGGTACAAAAGGGTTAAGGGTGGTGAGTCATATCTTTGTGTTATCCTCTATCCTTGTACATTTTACAATCTTGAGTGAAAATCATGTTTGTGGACGTAGCCCTAATTTTGGGTGAACCACGTATATCTCCTGTGATTTGCTTTATGTGAATTGTATGGTTGTTTGCTGCGTTGGACAAATTATCCCTAGCCACTAGGTAATTCAAAAGAATATGATTTTTTATTTTTTTGATAAGTAAAGATTTTATAAAAAGCATTCATGTGGAATTCACTTTGACCTCATCTCTCTTGCATGAAGGACACCAATTCACTTTGACCTGTTTCCTCCTCCTCCTCCTCCTCAAGTTATCCAGCATCAAAATCCTCCCCAAAACTGCCATTCACACAAAAAACCCACTTTGAGAGGAGCCTTGGTACACCACACAGCCTTCTATGGGAAGACAAGCCTGATAGCACCAGAAAGGTCTCTATATAAAGATTGATGTCAAAGCTCCCCCGAGATGAGACAATCCACACCTAAGAGTCGGGCCCAACCCCATCCACCTCCTAACGATACACCAAACCCAAGAATTCTGCGACATCCTCCAACTCCCAATCCTGAAAATGCCCCACAAAACGCATATCCTAGGTCGTCCTACTGATAAAAAGCCGATAACAGTCAGCAACCAATGCATGTCTGTCCATGACAATCCTAAACAATGGTATGGAGGGTGATGGAGGAAGGAAGGGGGAGGAGAGATGGTTTCCATATGAAGGTCAAAATTTATTCCCGAACGTCCGGAGTCTAAATGACCAGGGTAAAAGGACGGTGGTTAAGATGGCTTTAAGGAAGTGGGGTGCTCAGGTGGTTTGTTTGCAGGATTCCATATAGAGTGCAATTTCCAATGGAATTGTTAGGAGTCTTTGGAATGGCTGACATGTAGATTGGGTGACCCTGGATGTTAAAGGAACTATAGGATGGATTTTTTTTTTGATAAGTAAATATGTATTAGAAAGCGTTCAAAAGGGCAACGCATCCTAAGAGCAACACAAAGGCTGCAGCCAGGAAGGGCCTAATAACCCAAGGAGCCCAAAAAAATGACTATTTCCACTATAGATTTACAAATTCTCCCCATAACCCAACAAAAAAGATAACAAACAATAAGAAATTTTAGAGACCCAATAGGAGATTCATCTCCATTAAAAGATCTTCTATTCCGCTCCATCCAAATGAACCTACCAAACACAAAAAGGTGCCACCCTCCAATAAACAATGGGTTTCTTAAGTGTTTTTTTTTTTTTTGATAAGTAGGGTTTCTAAAGTTGATGTGAAAAGGGGGAGATAAGTAATCTCTTGTATACTTTCTTTCAAGGAGGAGGATGGCTCACAGGCTATATAGATTCTTGGCTTCATGTGATTAGGAAGAGAATTCCCCGGATGTTGTGCAGGTAACAATGGCTAGGGTAATGTCGGATCATATTCCATTATTGTTGGATTGTGCTGAATTAAGGAAAGGAAAATCTCCCATCAGATTTGAGAACATGTTTTTTTTTTTTGATAAGTAAATATGTATTAGAAAGCGTTCAAAAGGGGGAACGCGTTCCAAGAGCTGTACAAAAAATGAAATAAAGGAAAAAGAAGACCGGACCCAACGACCCCAAAAAGTCCATAATCTCATCCAAAGAAAGATTTGAGAACATGTAACTTTGAGCAGCTGACTTCAAGGACATAATAAAGGTTTTTTGGGAAGGTTATCAGGTAAGGAGAGCTCCAGCTACACTCTGCATAAACATAGTCTGTTGAAGGTTGGGAGTTTAGTAATCTGGAGCGGGAGAAAGATTATTAGCTGAGATACAGTGTTTCTCAAAAGAATAGAAACAATATGAAAAAAATAGAAACAATAGATGAGGTGGAAAGGCACTGAGACCCCTAGGTTGTGACATAATTTTCAAACGTCAAGCAGACAAAAATCACATTATGAAAAAAATTATAGGACAATTTTCATGAAGACAATCAACAAGGGTTGTGCGTTTATCACTTAAAAAACACAGTGTTTCTCAAAAGATTGTGAGCCTAGACAGTGAAATGATCCATTGGATTCTAGTATCAAAATTTGAAAGACATCAAATGCAAACTCCAAAATCCTTATGGCAACAATCCACCAAGTTAGGCAGGTAATAAGCAAATTTACATAATGAAACTAGAAGGCAATTTACAAATTAAATGAAATTATAAACTTAAAAATGAAAAAATAGACTTCGAATATATATATATGAAAAAAATATTAATAACCGATAACAAAGCTACTGACCAAAGACTTCGCACGCTTGATGAACACGGTCAGTGGGCCAATAAAGATTGAGAGGTAGCTCGAGCAATTTCTGCCAGTAATCTGAAGCGAGAGGGAACGATTTCTCGCCCACGAAAGTCCCAATTAGGTACTCCGCCGTGTCTTGCGGCCGCGCGCTGCCGCTGCGCGGCGTTGAAGGCACGGCCCCCATTAACGACTTGGAAACACTCTCTCTCTACGATCAAAATCTCGAACTCAGCCGATCTTCAACACTCAATTGATCAACACCAATGGCATTGCAGATTGATAAATTTGAGAGAACAACCTTGAAAAATAATGAGGCCGAGATCGGAGCTACGGATCGGCTTGCTTTTGTCCTGACAGAGATTTAAACCGTCTTTGGATGCTCTGGTTTAGCACAAACGAAGAGAGGCTTAGAAACGAAGGTTTTACAAAGACTTCAGAAAGAGAGAGATGTAAACCGACAGGACTTTTTCAGAGATGATAAAATGCGTTCTGTTAACTACAGAGAATATGATCACAAAATGAGACGCATTAGTTTCACCAACTTGACGTAACTGCCCTCTAAATTCACATTCTTTGATGTAGGAGTACATTTTTGTTTTTTTTTAATGGTAAAGTACAGCTACACAAACTTTTGACAAAATGACTGTTAGGGAAAATTTACTTATTTTTAAAATAAAAATACTCCTTAAAAGTTAAAAAATAGACAAAAAAAACTCCCTTTACACGAGAAATTAACCAAATTACTCTTTGACAGTTTATAAGACTTTTTAAACTTTACAATTTAATAAATTGAAACAATCTACCCTAGGGCTGTAACTCGGGAAGGTTGAGCGGGTTTGAGGTATAATTTGAGCCCAACCCACCATATAAAATGCTAAACCCAAACCCAACCCTAACTCTATCATCAAGCCTAACTATTAGAACCGAGCTCAACCCATCCTTCTACTTTTAAATTCAGACTTGCAACTCGGGTTTAGATTTTGTGTTAAAACTTTGGGTTAATTTGGGTTACTCATATGACTAATCTTCACACCAAAAATTTAATATGATCTTGAATTAGTTTTAAATTAAATTACTCTTGAACAACAAAAAGTTCAAAGATTTTTTGTAGATTTTTAATAAATTACAAACAAATTCTTAAAAAATTAAGTCTATTAAATGTTAACATACAATAAGTTAAGATTTAACAAAAGAAATTGAAAAGACAAAAAAAAAGGGTAATCATAGTTTAAATATTATATGTAATGTATTTTAAAGTAAAAATATATATGAAAATAATATTATAATTCGAGTTCGGGTTGGCTCGAGTTGCTAGTCTTCAATCCAAGCCCAACTCTAATTTAATTCGGGCTGAGATTTTTCAACCCAAGCCTGACCTTAATTATAAAAATGATTACCCAAACCCACAAAAAATCGGGCTGGACTCAAGTTGGGTTCGGGTTTCTCAACCCAAGTTACACCCCTAATCTACCCTCGTGAACAATATATGAATAAAAAAAAAAAGTTAAAAAAAAAACTTTATATTGTTCACTTTTTTTTATTTTTTTATTTACTTTATAAATGTCCCAACTTCTTAAAAATGTAGACGTCTAAAATAATTTTTTGATCTAATCCATATATTTCAAATAAATTATATTTTGTTATTACTTCTTTTCTTTTTCTTTTTTATTTTTAAATTAAGATACTTAATTCATTCATCTAAAAAAAATTAAACCAATCTCTTTTACTTAACCACTTTTTTTTTTTTTTTTAAATAAACAAGTACGCTAATATAAATAAGATGACGTGCCTCAAATCCAGCAGTTGAAAGGAAAATGAAAGAGGAAAACACATACACACACATAACATAAACCACCAGACAATTGCCAGAAACTGTTGATTTATTTATCTATTATAGAAGGTTGACTCCATTTTATATTGAGCTGAAACTAATCCCTACTCACATACACAATCTTATGCATCAGGTAACTCGGGAAAGAGTTACACGTGAAATATCTCAGATTGTTGATTTCTTTGAGGTTTCCAAGAAATTATTGATTTCCTCTTAAATTTTGTTGACAACTTTATTTCTCTACATGGAGGCAGTCAAGAAAAAGGAGCTAGAAGTACTTATTTAAAAAAAAAAAAAAATGTGGTTAAGGAAAAGAGATTGGTTTAATTTTTTTAGATAAAATAATTAAGCTTCTTAATTTAAAAATATAAAAAGAAAAAGAAAAGAAGTAATAACAAAATATAATTTATTTGAAATGTATGTATTGGATCAAAAAATCTTTTTAGACGTCTACATTTTTAAGAAGTTGGGACATTTATAAAGTTAAAAAAATAAATAAATAAATAAAGTGAACAATATAAAGTTTTTTTTTTAACTTTTTTTTTGTGCATTAATTATTCACGAGGGTAGATTGGTCCAATTTATTAAATTGAAAAGTTAAAAAAGTCTCCTAAACGGTCAAAAGGTAATTTGATCAATTTCTCATATATAGGGGTGTCTTTGTTCATTTTTGAACCTTCAAGGGGTGTCTTTGTTCCAAAAACAGGTAAGTTTCCTTTTGAGTATCCTTTTGCCAAATCTCAAGGAGTGTGACTGTACTTTACCCATTTTTTTTTTTATCTATATCTATAGTAAGCATTTTCTATTTTTTATATACATTTTTTAAATACAGTGAAATAAGATTTTTCCTCATGAATATATATAAAATTATTATAAAAATAATTAAAAAAAATCCTCTTCCTTAGAAAACTGAAAATATTTTTAAACTTTTATTATTTCCTTTTTAAATATTGATCAAACGTGGTTACCAATTTATTTGAATTAAACTTTAATTTATATATATCTATATCTAATTATCTATACTATTACTAAAAATGCAAAGTGTTTCAGTATTTTAGTATTTATTTTTGTATATTACCTAATAAAATTCAAATTACAAATTATTTAATAAAATTCAAATTACCTATTTATCTATCTGTTTTTTAAAAAATTCTATACTATTATGGCATATCATTTGTGTACTCAGGACCATCAAGTTTGATCGAATGATATATTCAATTTCCTCCGCTGGTTTTTATGACTAAGAATCATGTCAATCTCAAATATTACTCTCAAATTTTATTTTCTCATTGATTTTTCCATTCACCAAGGAATTAGTGTAAACTTACTTTACTCAAAAGGAAATATAGATTTTTAAACTATCACACAAGTTTTTATTTATTTCTATATGATTTTACTTAATTTAATCCAAAAAGTAACTTTATTTTCTATTGTTACAAGTTTAATCTCTCACTAAATAAAATATAGTTCACTAAAATCAATATATTTCTTTTCAATAGTCTTCAAATTTTTTGTGTTAGAACTTTTATTTTTTGAGTCGTGATACTCACACCAATGATTTTGGCCTATTTCTTAGGCAGAATCCTTTGTGGCAGTCCAACTAGCCAAAAAAAAATTTGCCACAACAGTAAATTAAGCATCGATTTTGTGCTCCAGCAACTTGACACCTCCACACAGTCACTGGCGACACTTCACATGGTGACACCTCCACCTGGTCACGACTAACACGCACTAACGTGTTATCTAACTCTACTCAATGCACTGGCGAACCTCTCACGTCACCACCGACTTCACCAATGTCATCAAACACCTCACGATGCTTTAGATCGTCGTCACTACTAGTGCAAGGGTTAACCTCTGTCTTGCTTCTTCCCTTATCAGTCGCCGTCGTCGTCGACTTCACCGTCTCGAGGCGACCTTCCTGCACGGCCTTCAACGTTGTCTGCAGATTATGCATAACCTTTTACCGTGGCAACGTGTTTCGATTCGTGCCACTAACATCGCGGTTGATTTTCTTCCCATGCCATCTCCAAACATGATCTGCGAGAGCTTACTTCATCAGCGTTAACTATGACATTAAGGGTGCAACTTGGGTTGGGCAACCCGAACCCAACCCAAGCCCGCCCGATTTTTTTATGGCTTTAGACAATTATTTTTACAAATAGGGTTGGGTCTGAGTTGAAAAATCTCTACTCGAATTTAATTAGGGTTGGGCTTGGGTTGAGGTACTAGCAAACCCGAACCCGAATTCTAATATTATTTTCATATATATTTTAAATTTTAAATACATTATATATAATATTTAAGCTACAATTATCTTTTATCTTTTCAACTTCATTTGTTAAATCTTAACTTATTGTATGTTAACTTTTAAGACAATTAATTTTCTAAGAATTTGTTTATAATTTATTCAAAATTTATAAAATGTCTTTAAATTTTTTTAGTTTTTTGTTTAAGAATAATTTAATCTAAAACTAATTCAAAATCATATTAAATTTTTGGTGTGAAGATTAGCTATATGAGTAACTCGAATTCACCCTAATTTTTAACATGGAATCTAAGCCTGGGTTGCAAGCCCGAATTAAAAGTAGAAGGATGGATTGTGTGATATTTTTTATTTTTACCTTTTTCATTTTCTATAATTTTCTGTCTTTGTAAGGGTATTTTTGTCTTTTCACGTTTTGCTTGCCGGACATCGTAGGTGTGCCGGGTGTGTTTGGGAGTTGGTTGGTGCATTCCATTGAGTTCAGGACTTTTGGAAATGCAATGATCGACATTTCGACATTTTTTCGTTTTTCGGACCGGACCCCGTGTGGAACCCGCCACCGACATTGTCGTGTACGGAAGTTTTGGTTGAGTCCACTTGCATTTCATTTAATTTAATTAAGTGTGTTTTATGTGGTATTTATATGGTTAGTATGCATTTATGTGTTTGTGGTGGAAAAAGGAAAGAAAAAAAAAAAAAGTCAAAAGAAAATCCTTTAGTGGTGGGACCCACCACTATTACATTGGTCAAGAGACCAAATTTGGCCTCACTTTCTCTCTCTAACTCTCTTTTTCTCCCGGCTATCTCTCTTTCCCTTATCTTTTTCTTTTCCTTTTTCACTAAATTTCAAACTTCAATTAATCTTCAACCGTTGGGAGTTTTTGGATGTCATTTGCGGCAAAACGGAGAGCGCAGCGAGACCTACGTGTTGATAGGGGCTAAGCACCCTTTTGGCCAATCCTTGATTTTTGAAATTAGGGCATAAATTGGGAGTTTTTGCATCTTTGGAGATAGGGGTGTCTAATTTACAATCTGTTGGATTTTTGTAAATTAATCCTTTATAAATTGTGTTATAACATACTTAGGGCCCATTTGACAACTACAGTTGCTTTGTACTTTTGCTTTGACCGAAAACAGAAGTAATGTTTTTACTTTAGAATATGTTGAATACTATTTTGAAACTTGTTTGGTAACGTCCTAAAATTCGGAAGCAAAAATATGAAAACATGTTTGCTAACATCCATGCTTTGAAAGACAAAACATGAAAACATGTTTGGTAATATCCATGCTTCGGAAGCAAAAACATGAAAAGGTGTTTGGTAACGTCATTATTGTGAAAATATTGGAAACAAAAATATAGAACTTGCTTGATAATGACTGTTTGTATTATTCTATTTTATTATTTAAATTTATTTATAA